GGCCAGGAGAGGTCTGCCTCGCCATCGCCATGTGGACTCCTCCGGGGCAGGCAGGAAACGAACTCATGAGGAAGTGGCTTAAGCTTCGTAGTGCAGTGCTTTAACCCGCTGCACCACCAGGGAGGGCCGGAGAAACATTTTCTAAAGTGTACAGCTATGGATGGTCACTGGGGTGGGAGGAAATGCTGCCTGGGTTTGGAAGTTGAGAGAAAAGCAATTTAGTCAAGGCACGGAGGGTGGGAGACCCTGGAGTGAGGGGGTTGTGAAGATCCAGCTGGAGCAGAGTGGGAAGAGGAAAAGCAAGGGAAGGCAGAATGTGAACTCAGTGCATGAATTTTTGTTTTGCTTTGTTTTGTTCAAGCTGTTTACAGTACCTGACACAGTAGGTGCTCAATATTAGTTTAATTAAATCTGGAGATATCCACCTCTATGTCTCAAATGTCACAAAACAACTCTAGCTCCCATTTATTTGCTGCAAGCCTGGAGCAAGAATCACCTCATTGAGTTCCAGGATCATGGTTCTGGAGGTTGATATCATTAGCTTCTTTTTCAGATGAGGAAATTGAGTTTCAAAGATGTTAAATGGCTTCTTCATGGTTACCATAGAGCCTGAATTCACATGTGATCTGTCTTCTCAGGTCTCCATGCTTGATGGAAGACAAGAAGAGTAACCACCTGGGGTGGCTGGAGGACATGAGAGACAAAGTCACATTCAGTCACTCCTGAGGTATATGGCTCAGGTCCCTCACACCAGCCCTGGGCAGGGTGTCCTGACTTCAGAGAATGGGAGTCAGGGCCAAATGCCATCCCTTCTGCAAAAGGAGTCACTAGGTGACCCTTTGGGTTAGGGACTAAGGTCTGGCTTTACCTAGGCCATCTACTTTATAGAGAAGATGAGGAACAAAGAGGTATTTACCCAAGGTCACACACTGGGGATGGCTATGTGTAGGCAAGAAGTTTACTGTGGTTAGATAATGACCACAGAGTTGAACTGGCTGGCTTCCAGGGTCCCCACTGCACACCTCAAATCAGGGGTAGCAGTGTGTTAAGTCCAATGCATTTGGCAAAGAGAGCAGGAAGTATGACTAAAGCTTCTGGTGGGGATCTGGAGAGTGATTGAGGCACCCAGGTTCTGAACTTGAGTGTCAGCCCAGGTCTTCCTTAACTGAGTGAATCTAAGCAACAGTGATTGGGGCATCCAAGATTCTGAACTTGGGTGTCAGCCCTGGCCTTCCTTAACTGAGTGAACCTAAGCAAGTCTACCTTCTCTGGACCTGGGTGACCTCTGGGTGCCCTTCATATTTTTTGCATGCTTGCCAAACATCAAATATCTCCTCTATCCTCACAGACCTTAAGGCACAGGCCAGTTTTCAGGAAGTAGAAAAGGGAAGTGCTATTTTGGGCCCTTTATGGCCAGTGAGTCCTGCCTGGCAAAGGCAGCTGAAGGGGTAGATTGCAGAGTGAACTGGGGAGGGAGATAGCAAGCAGGCATCAGATAATTTTTGGGCAGAATTCAGATGCCAGGCTGTGGAAGGACACAGGGAAAACACTGAGAGTCAGGGAAAGTCGGGACAGGGGTTCCCCAGCACAGTGGCCTGAAAAAAGTTAGTGCTCCCTACATGGGGTCTCAGCAGAGCCTCACACCCTGGATGGGTAATCTTGTGCTCAGAGAGGTGAAGTCATTTGCCACACAGCCTGGCATTGACAGAATTGGGATTGATCCCTGTTTGTGTGACACCAAGCAAAATCCAACTCCAGTGGGACTCCAGACCCAAGCTAGTGTCTGGATCTAAATGCAGACTGAATCTGGCCGTCAGACTCGGTCATTCCCAGCTCAGCTCCTGTCTGCCCCAGGTCAACCCTCACTCCGAAACTATAGCACCAACAGGAGGGCGAACCCCCTTCAGAAGGAATCAGATGTACCCAACTGTGGATTAACCAAGCTCAGGACATTGAATTTCAGGCTGAGCACCTACCTAATATTCTTGTTCAAGTCTTCCATGTTGGAATTCCAGAGTAGTCAGCAGGGGGCGCCACCATTTCTGGTTCATAAACCCAGAGGCTGACTTTTGCTTCCGGCCAAGCCTCTGATCCTGTGGTCCTAGATCCCAACCAAGGCAGAGCCTTAATGGGACATGGAGTCCATGCACCTGACTAGATCATCATCCATCAGCTCATATCAGCTTCCTAGAGCCTTGGGCTGTGCCACCTAGATGAAATACAGGCATTCTCTGGGGTCACTTCCTTGGTTACGTTGAGAGGGAGCCCTGAGTTCAGGGACTGTGATGTTAAAGGTTGTGTGGGTCCATCTGAGATGCTAGCAGTTTTAAAAGCTATGATTTTCTGAGTCCTTTGTTCTCCAGCCTGTGGTTCCCCAAGCCCCATAAAAAGCTGATGTAATTCTCTCCTTTGGCCTCTGCAACTCCTTTATGTCTCCTCACGGTAATGGCTAGATGCTCCCAGACGCTTGGGCAGGTCCCACGTGCAGCTCGTTGTGGGCTGGGAGTCAGAGCCAGCAGTAAATAATAATTAGGCTCCCTCATAACCTGAGGGGGTGTCGTGAGGTGGGCTGTGTGCAGCTGTGGCTCTAAGAGACCTGGCTCTGTAGAGCTGTACCTTGAAAGCCCAAAGTTGCCAAGTTCAGAGTCCCCTGAATTATAGCAGGCACCTGCCTTGACCTCTCCATGCCTGATCTCCTCCTGGCTCACATAGGTGCTGCCCACCCTTGCCACTCAACCAGATCAGGCAGATAACTACCGCCCAAGCAGAACTAGCCTGGTAACAGTTCAGGTAGGGAAACTGAGTCATGGATTTGGCCAATGCCTCACAGAGAAAACTGGTAGTAGAGAAAGCCCTGGAACCTCTGTAGGGTGTCTGATTGATGTCTGGTGCTTCTTGACCAAAACCCCTTTGGTGTATTGAGTGAATATGAAATTTGAACTCATTTGGAACTGGGCTATAAAAGGCTCCCTTACAGAGAAGACACTTGCAGGAATAGAGGGCATCCTGAGTTGCTCAGATCCCATCACAGATCCCTCTGTGTGTTCAGATGTAGGATACGGGACCCTGAGATCATCCTATCCCTATCCTTGGGGGTGTCCATAGACATTGATGGGGGTGGCTATGATCCTAGCATCTATGACCTGGAGCACCTTCTGCCCTTGCCCCCCACTCTGAGCATGGCTCAGGGAAAGGGACACTCTTCTCCTGCCCCGCCTCCCTCAGCAGGTGACCAGTTCTCCTGGAATGTCCTTGTCCCTGGAACTTGATCTTCCCTAAACTTCCCAACCCCCTCACCCCAGATTCTACGACTCAGTTTGTCCAGAAATTTCCATCTTTCCCCCAATCTATCCCTAACAAACTTATTTACTTTCCCCCACCTCTGTCATGGGCTATGATTATCCTGATTCCAGCCAGGCCTCTGCCCCTATCCTGAGGCCTTCCCTGCTGAGTCTCTTCCCAGATCTGCCACCTGAGAAGGCCACTTGAGAGCCCCTGAATGGTAATGAATGGGGGAACCTGGCGGTAGCTGTGGCCTATAGCCCTGGTTCTCCATATTGCACAACTCTAGGGGGCATCATTGACAGGGGTGGGAACACTGTGAACAGTGCCCTGGAGTATGTGCAACTGTGTCCCTAGTGACTACCCTGCTGGGCACCCCATGGTTGAGAATCAGTGTGGGACAGATGATGGAAGGGAGAGAGAGCAGTGTGTCACCTACCCTGCAGGAAGAAGGGACTATCCTGCACACTGGTGGGCTAGGGCGCGGAGCCAGGAAAAGCTTTCTGGAGGAAGATTTTCTGTCTCATTTTCCCCAGGCCTTTTTTCCTTTAACGAGTTGTGGGTTCTAGGGGCACACCTGAAGCTCATGACAAAGCAAAGTGAGGCCAATTTCCAAGAGAAAGGAGACCCAGGAAAGGTCATTGGTGGCCCCGGCTGCACTGGCAATGGTGACAGGACCCAGAGTAGCATCCAGATCTGGAGCCCAGAAGGGAAAGATCCCAGAGGCTTCCTGGGTTCCGCGGAGTCGTCCGGCGCAGCCCCCCGCAGTTCTCGCGCAGCGCGAGAGATGGCGATATGGAGCAATGCAACCCGGCGGGAGCGCTCGAGCCCCTCCGCGGGC